GGGAAAGAGGTGGACCAGATGACTTTCAGAGGTCCCATCTAGTCTAAAAAATATTTGTGATTCTACCAGTGTTTCCTACTTGTACACCATCATTGGCGTGGGCAGACAATTCAGCTCTGAGAGGAGGGCTCTACTAGGCATGCATACAAGCAAGTAACTTAAGCCCTCCACAGAGGGCTTTTGGTGAGTCTTGTCTAATGAAAATTTAATCTCTGGCACTAAAAACTGTAGATGATGATGTAAAATATTATTACATCAGAATATAGTAGCATTTTTCTTTTTCAATATTTTTTAAATAATAAATTAAAAAAAAGCATCTCCATCTGAAATCTTTCCAACAGAGAACAACTACTGGGCATGGAAGATTTGCTAAATTCTCACAAGCATCTATCCATGAAACCCTTAATGGGTTTAGAAAGAGAGAACCTAACATTTAATAGTTTATTTAGACAGCGCATTAGATGAACATTATTAGGAGGTATTACAAGAGATTGCAAACATCCCATGAGACGCTGAGCATTTTGCATAAAACCTGAATCAGCATGGAAGCTTCTGCAGCGGTAAGTTCCTGTCAACAGCAGCAGCTGAGCAACAGATCAACAGTTACCAACTGCCAAGGGAAGAACACCCTGAAAACCACTGAAATGACAGCGACATAATTTTCCAAGTCCTGGGACAAAAAAAGAGCAGGGGTACAAGTCCCTGTGTTCATGGCCATTTGTGGCTTCAGACAGAAGACAGGGTTTGCAAATAGCCCAGAGAGGGCAACTGCAGAAGCCTGAGCAGTCAGCAAAGTAGCTGTAATTTGGTATTACTGTATGCCCATGAATTTGACAACTGTTGCCATAACATGCAAAAAGTTCTTTTACAACTCCCTTAACTAGAGAATGTGTTTGCCTACTCAGAAAGTGTTCAAAAAAAGTTGATTTCCACCCACTTTGACTGACTGCTTTGGATTTCCAAATCTACGTAGTAAGACAGCAATGTCGGCTAATTAATGATTTGCATCTGCTTCAAAATACTGGGAAGTTACATGATTTTTCAGGCATTGCCCACCCAGTTCAGAAGAAAAACTGTACAAAGTTGAGGCTGTTACCAGGAAAATCACTGTAGAAGCAGCAAGACCACTTCAGGGCTTTCCCAAAGGTGCTGTGTATATGGCTCAGCCCACAAAAGCTGAATGCACCTTATCCACGTGTGTGCGAAGTTAGACAAATTAGTTGAAACTGCTTTTGAAGTTATCCAAGTGACTTGCTGCTCACACAATCTGTGTGATGTGCAGGCTGTAACCTCTGCCAGAAGTCCACTGATAAAATGGAGCAGGGGAGGGGAAAAGCCATAGGATCTTAAAAATATTACAGCTTTTTCTGATGTGACTGTCGTCATCTGGTGGAATTTCTAGTCACCTCCAAAAACTAAATCACAGCTACCTATGGGGTTTGCGGGCGAGCTTCTGTATCAGTCTGCAGCTTTTAAAATTCCAGAACATACGCATTTTGACTCACACTTCCAGCAAACCTTCTTTTGATGTAACTTCACTGGACACAGAACTGATTTTAAAAATGAACTCACCGAAGAAGCTGCCCAGCTGTTGTAATTGTGACTGTCCAGTTCTTTGGTAACCGAAGATGCATCTACAATGGCAGCAATGAGGTATAAAACGAAGGCACTTCCATTAAAACACAGACCCTGTTGAAAAAACAACAAACTTAATGTGCATGTGCGTTTGCTACCATTTTCTATTCCAACATTATAAAACTCTCCTCTAAAATATAATGAACAATGCAATGTAAACAAGAAATGCGATTCTTAACTATTTTTACCTTCTTCCAAGTTACAACTGTCAGATTAAACTTTAACTGCTTATTTTGAAGATCCATAAACACTAAAGGCTATTTTGGGCAAGCTGTTCTTTCCATCAAACTAAATCCAGAAAAGCCTTAAAGCTGGTGTGCTATGATTTTCCAACAGTGAAAATAAGGACATAGTTTGATTCTCGCAATCTAAGTGTTAGGCAGTGAGAATATGACACCACATGAAAAATAAATGAAACAAAACAAAATTAGATTACATTTCTGTTCTACATAAAGATAGACTCTAAGAATCAGTAACTCATGGCATATGAAGAGTATTTATAAAGCTTCCAAAATGTGGGGTTTTTTTTCTCAATTCCTGAAGGAGATAGAGGATGTAATTTTTTTCAGTCCTATTTTTCCACCTCTCAGTACCTTTCCCTTCTGCCTGTTTTAGATAGGAGAGACAAATAGATAAAACCAAGGAGGAGAACAGTCTGAATAGAGTACGTGGGTCATCAAGACCCATCCGTGGCAGATGCTGCATTTTCTTTTCCAAGGGCAAGAGTTAATGTCTCAAGGCACAACCTATTTTCATTACTAAGAAAGAAGCAAAGCAAATAACGTTGATCTCACTACAGAGAGCAAACAAAACCAGTATGGTTGAGTTTTGCATGTGAGAAAGAACAAGAAAGGACGGGAGAATGGAAGTCTAAGAAGATGAAAGACAGATAAGGAGGTAAAAGTTTTATTTTAGGTATATAATTTTAATACTTTGTCCTTTACTTCCTACTTGGTCATGGCTATAAGAAATACATTCTTATTTAAAAATAAAAATCCCCCTAGATTCCACCCTGCTACTTGTCTAAGGCATATGAATTTGGCCATAAAGTACACTTTTAGTTCACTGGTGCCACATTTAAGTGGAATGCCTGTGACTAGCTACACCTGCAGAAACTAGTAACTCCATTTAAACCAGGTCCTAATGTTCTACATGATCTGCTCCCTTCAGCTTCTGGCCCTGTGTTTGCACTCCACACAAATATCATAACCCTTAACTCTGTTGCCCCAGTTGCCTCTAAATGTTCCCATACTGGTTCGGCTCCAACTTACTAACTTCCATGGTGTGACCCAGTAGATGTTAGGAATATATGCCAATTGTTGACTACTGAATTAACTAGTCAACAACTCTGGAAGAATCTAAAGAAAAGAGAAGTTTGGAAAGCAGCAAGAACAGCTGTAGCCACATCAGCAATTCCCTCCATGCACCAAAGTGCAGATCAACAGCTCAAAGTGGTTGGTCTGGAAGCTCCTCACATCAAACTGTCAATTTTAGGATAAGATGCCAACAACTGGCAAGTTCAGGTGAGCTTATGTAAATCTTCTGTAAAGATTTTCAAACTCCAAATTTGATTGCCTAGAGTATTTGTTGTTGTTATTTTTAGATTGCCCATTCCAAGAAGACTCAATTACCCTGGAAAGCTACAAATCCCTGCAATATCTTGTCATGTAGGAAGGAAAAAAGCACATATTTTTTGAGAAGTGCTGCTCTGGGAAATAAGAGTGTTGGGGAAGATGGAATGCAATGCAAGCTGATTGGGCCTTTACTGCCAATATATTACTCAAACCAAATGGTTCATGCTAAATTGCCATCTGCTTCTTAAATTCAAGTTTACCAGATTTTAAAAGCTTCCATTGATTGTTTCAGCAAAGAAGTTGCACTATTAAGGAGAGTCAGTTTGGAAGCACGTCCTTTGGGTTAATTTGCAGTGAAAGTAACTGCATCTTAAGCAATTTGGTAATGTGCTTAACCTGCAAAAAGTGAATTTATGACAGAGAAGTCCAGCGTAATTTTGGATACAGCACACCATAGGCACAGTTTCAGCTAACTGTTGCCTAAGGAGGCAGAGCAATAACTAGCGGAGACTGACACTCAGATACTTCGGAGAATAGGGGGAAAGGGGGCATAAACTCACTCACTCAAAAAGGCATGTGTCATGCTCTCCTGAATGAAGACATTATCAACATCTCTCTGAAGAGACATAACATTCCTCTCTTTGGCCAGCCAGCAGTGGCAGAGGTCCAATTCAAAGGCTGTTCCTAACAGCTCTTTTAACACCTTAGGGCAGAAAGAGCTGTAATGCAAGCATCTTTTATTTATTTTGCATTTATTTTCTATCCATATTGCCCTTTACTACAAAAGGAGGCTAACTTTCGGACCCACATTTATGTGATTTTATCTACAATATGTTTGGAACTCAAAGCAAGAAATACACTCAGTATGAAGAAGAAACATAACAAATACTCTACCACATAGATCAGGGACAACTCATTTATGTGCAGCTGTTGTCTTATAGCAGTGTTAAACTGATGAAAGAAGGGTAATGACTAAAGCTGTATCCAAATGGATACACAGATGATTCCCCTATGAATGTACTTTACTTACACCTAACATAATGGGGAAAAAAACCCTAAACCAAACACCGCCACACCTTTAAATGTACCTAGACATACTACTGCTGTAATTGAAATAATCTAACATTTCTATAGCAGTGTTATAGCCTTAATGGTAATTGCTGGTCATGCAACTTGAAAACAGGGAAGCTATCTGAACATAACCCTGGTTGTTCTTATTAGTAGGCTATTTATTACAGCAGCAAATGGGAAGACAAAAAGAAAGAAGTATTCCATTTTAGTCACGTACAAAATATAGCTGATAATAAGCTGTTTGCAACACAGAAGTCAAATATATTTTATCATAAAAATAACAGAATTTTAGTGAATGATCTTTAGCTAGTAAAAAAACCCCAAACACAAACCCACTGTATCAGATAAATGCAAGATTAAAATTTATAATAATTTTTGGATATGTCATAAGCAGCCAGTTGCCTGAGGTGACAATGACTTTTAGGATCTATTACCCTGAGCACCAGCCTGTTACGAAAATCACGTAAAAATATACCACCGAGAGGTACAGCTAGCCAGGTTTGTTCAAACCACAAACACTGGACTTGAATTTTAAGTGCTGTGATTTTTTTTTCTGTTTTTACGTTACTGTTTTGCTGACTTACTTTAAGTCTTGAGCTAAAAGCAAAGGATTACATGGCACATATTATGTTACATGTATAGAATACTGATTTTTGGCACCATTTTCACAGTAGGCCATATATGGATTCTAAGACTATTGCTACCTCTGAACCACCTTTGCTCTTGCTTTAACAGAGAAAGACTCATATTTCAAGAGCCAGGGTCCCACTTCCAGTTCATGGTGTGGATTCAAGCAGGGATTTTCTGCTGTTTAAGCCATATAAGCAGGTCTGTTAGCTCAGAGGCAGAAATAGACTCATTCTTCACAGGACATAATCACTACAGGGAGGAAGAGAGGCCACTGTGCATAAGTATTAGTCACATGCACATTATTAAAAATCAAGTCACTACATCAACTGCTGAACAAAACAGTGAAACGTCGTAGGAAATATGTTTGAAAAGTGTCCTAGTAGTATGAAGGTTAAACGGCAGGTACATAGCCACACAGTAATTAGGAGGAAATCTGCAGAAAGCACAAGTACAGTTGGGTAACTACACCCGTAGAATGCATCAATATATTATTCTCTTCATAACCAGCAAACTTGAAACAACAAAGAACGGATGTATTTACCACCGTGGTCCATGGCACTTGGGGGATCCTGGTGTAGGTCATTGTCATGTAGATGATCAGAAAGAAGATGGTGAGAACCCAGTAAAACACGGCTACAAACATCACCCAGCCAAAAGCTGGATACAGAAAGTATTCTGTTCCAGCAATCAGGGTCCACATCAGCAGCCCCAATACCTGCAAAAGTTATGGAGAAGAAACAAAATTGTTAGACAGTCTTAGACCTCATAAACATTCTAGGTCAAAGAACGACACCACTGCCGTTCACAGAACCATCTGACAAGACTTGCTAAGATGCTACACTGACAGAATACTAATCTAACAAAGAAGAACAACGTACAAAACTGGTTTTGCTGTGGCAGGGTGTCACAAAGGGAAAGGCAGAATGAGGCGTCTTGGTGTTGATTTAGCTCACCTTTAACTGTTACACACTGCAGGGACCATAGACACGAACCAACTCCTAGAACCTTATTATAAAAGGTAGTAGAAAAATATCAACAGCCACGGAAACTGTAACAGCTGCTGGACCAGACCAAGTCAGGTGGGGAATGTCATTATATCTCACAGCTCTTAGAACATTTCCCAAGTGACCTGACCCTGAGTAATGGACCAGGCCTCGTACTCAAGCAAAGTCCTCAAGCAAACCAGTGTGGGGAAGAAAACTCCCTCCTGATCCTGAATTTGGCAAATTGTTAACAGCTAAGACATGAAGGAACACACGAATCAGAGATTTTAACATAGTCTCTCCAAATTTCTCTAGCTTTAGGTGATCTCCAATGCATTAAGAGGGGCAAGGAGCAAAAAAAACCCCAGAAGTCAAGTCAGGTGACTCAGGAAGAAAAGTTACGTTTTTTGCAAGTTGTCCGGCAATTAGAAAAAATTAATATTAAAAATAGAGGGATATTTTATATCTTAAAACCCCTCTGCTCTGCTCTCGTGACACCTCACCTGGAATCTTGTGCTCAGCTCTGGGGCCCCCAGCGTAAGAATGAAATGGACCTGCTCGAGCGGGTCCAGAGGAGGACCATGAAAGGTGATCAGGGGGTGTGAGAACCTTTCGTTCACATCTCCACCATGCATACATAAAAGCACCACATGAAAGTCTGTTCCACTTTTATTTCCCCCCCATGCCATTAGAGGAGGCACATAAAGGCCTTTTTAAAGAGCATTTTTCCATTTTCACCAATTCAGCAATTTCTCTTTAACAGGAAGCCTTCGAATTTCCTCAGACTGGGCTAAAAAAATCCTACTTCCTGCAGCGTACCAGGGGAGGGCAGCATTGCCTCACAAGAACAGTTCAAATAGCACCAACACGGTAGTTTAAACTATTCTGTAATGTGAAGTTATCAGTTCAGCAATGCTTCCCATAATTCATTTTAATTCTAGTTCCAACATCATTTTACTAACAGAAGCAATTCAGTTAATAATGCCTCAAATTGCACGAACTACCCATGATTAGAAACCAACTCAATTTTAGTGTAACAACTGCTTTAAAATTAAACAATCTTGATAGACTGTTTAGCTAAAAAAAATACCGTTTCCTTTGGATACAAAGTTGCTCTTCATTATGCCCATCAACTCTAATCCAAACTTAAATTCATTATCCGGAAATAATACCAATGAATAAGTGGTCTCGTGCCTGATAAATAATTGCTAAACATAGATTTACTCAAGATCTGAATATCTAGTAAAATACCACAAGTAGAAACTTCTACAGTGAGAAAGAAAACAAAGAAAACATCATTAAACACCATAATCTACTGACAGCAGTGTTGTTTTTTAGGAAGCTTTTAAAAATAGAAGGAGATATTTTCATAATGTCACAAGACAAAGAAAAATGCTTAATACTAAATTCAACATAAATATTGATAAGGACATCTCAGCTTACAGAATGGATTATTTCTGGAAGGAATAAAAACTTCACAAGCAGCAAATTATTAAAAAGGAATATTCTGAGGTTACATGAGACCACTAATCTTATATTACCACACAACGAAGCTAGCAAGGTGTTAACTAGAGCACTGGTATTCTCACTAGTCCTGGTTTTCCTTGTAATATTCTAACCTGGTGTTGTCATTCCTCTTTCAAGATAATTTTAATATTTAAGTGGCAGTATATCTCACATGTATTCCAAAGAATTGCTTTTAATGAATGTTTTTTGCTAGCCTGTATCAATGGCAGAAGAATTTATCTAAGCAATTGAGATGCACCACGGACATTAGATTTATATTCTTAACCAGTTCTTGGTTCATATGCATCGTAACTTTCATGGGTTGCATATTAGAGCACATCTGACATTTTCAGTTAGATCCAGATACTCTTACTGCATATTACTGGAGCTGACAGGCTGAAATAATATTTCAGGTTTCTTGATCAGACCTGAAAAGGTCAGATCAGCTCATGGTCAACAATTCACTCAGCGTATAGTTAAATGCTACAGCAAATGGCTTTATTGCGTATGTAAACATACGTAATAAATTGATTTAAAGTTCACGTTGGCTGTCAGCATCTACAAAATATCTAAGGAGTCAAATAAACATAGACATCTAGACAAGTATTTCATGATTAGCTTGTCTTCTGAGCTTGTTAAATACTGAGATAGCTTCTGCAGTGTTAAAAGCCTGTCTCGTAATATTCTGACTGTCCCTTACGTTACATGTTTGCTGTTCAACAGATCAGAACAAACTGGATGACACTTGTGCACCTGCTCCAGCCGGGAGGGCCACTTCTGCTGATTTGAAAACATATCTCCCCACTGGGAATAACTGGACTATATTCCAATGACACCTCAAAGAGCATCTAGTGTGCAGGACATGCCAAGTGAGTGACAGGCGTGCAACACCGTGAAGGAAGGACCAGCAACTGCAACACCTGGGGAGTGGCCACAGTAATTCAGCGTGCACAGACAGCACAGAGCCACCCTCACTGCTGCACCTCAGCTGAAAGACAAGGGAGAAAGCTCCACTGAGTGACCGGGAAAGGCCTGCATCTCGTTATAATAAGGCATGCTAGAGTCTATTAGTAATGGCTAAGCATTTGATTTTAATTTATGAGCAAGTCAGAATTTGCTTGTTTAGAATTACTGGAATTTACTACAATCCTGTCAAAAAAAAGCCTCTGAGGAAGGGAGGAAAAAGCATCAAGAAGACAAAAGGAAGTAACGCATGTGTTAGCTGATGAGAGGGGATGCTGAGTCCTAAGACTCTAAGGGCTCCACCAGCTGGGTCCAGTTTCTCAGGTAGGATGAGAGATAGGGATTTCACTCATTGGTACATGCTACAGGCAAGCAGTTCCCCCGTGTTTACTGCAAGTCTCTCATTTCACCTCAGACATCTATTCTGTGATCATTTGGCTGCTGCTTGATCAGGTACCTCCATTATTAGAATGAGTTAATATGTCAAATGTACTAATACATACTTCAGCACTTGGCAGATACCATAAAAAGGAAATAACTTTGCTACAAAGTCCAATATTATTGACTGTGCAGGTTTAAAATTAGATGCTTAATTGCATATTCAAACCCTTAAATAAGTGTTATAATTTTTCCACAGTGCAGAGTACTTCAAAATTATTGGACTATTTAGTCACTTTAAAAAAAAAAAAGCTTTGTTGCCTAGATGATGAGACATATTTTGTCTCATGCTGCTGATACAAGTCAGCAGGTATAAAAGCAGGTGTGGGTTTGAATCTGCGTTTCCAGTTTTGCTTTTTGAAGCAGCTTTAAAACTGCAGAACGTACTTCATACTTGAAAACTGTATTTAAAAAGCCCATGATGTAGTGACTCCTTTCCAGCGATGCTAGCGTTACAAGTTCTGCAGCATTCGTGTTGATTTGTTAACTCAGCAACATGGATAAAAATGTTTATGCATCCTTCTCAAAGGAAAACCAAGTCTCATTGTGGCAGAACTGACAGGGGGAAAAAACCCCAAGGCTCATCTAGCTTCATCAAACTAAAAAACCCCACACAACTATATGGCACATTTGCCTAAAGCTTTTCCTATTCTTTATCCTAGAGAGGCTTCCTAGGACCATCTCAGTTCTCTGTATGCATAAGTATTGTAGGATTTATACACAGTTGCTACTGGCACAGATGGAAATCTTAGCAGGAGGAGACCCGAAGAGCTGTGCACTTGCAGCAACAGCCATCTCCTGTATTCGGGCCACCTAAACATGGACAGAATCCAGCAAGTAAAATGCAAGACATCTCGCTTCTCCTTCCCAAGAAAGGAGATTTATGCCTAGAAGAAAGAGAGGCCATTCTAAATCACTGCACATCATTATTTCACTACTAAATCACAAGTCAGGAGCTGCCTCAGCAACTGCACTTAATTAATGCCTTTAAATCAGAGTTTTTGTGCGCTCATACACGATCGACGAAGCAACATACAACAATTCCGCCTTCTGCCACTAGAGAGAGCACAATCACTGCTTTTTTAGAAAATCACTTCTAGAAAGGGGCACACGAACAGCCTTCAGGTACCCAGGAGAAACAGCAAAGGGGCAATTTGCACACAGTGCCAAACCCCTGCAGATTGAAAAGGAGCGCTGGAAATAAGCCATATATGTACAGAAAACTTTCACAAGGGTAATGCTAAGTTACTGTCTACATAAAGCAACCTGAGTGGGTTCACTTCCATACCAGCTACAACAGCAAGCAAATTTAGATTTATCCACACACTACTGGAAATAAGGATCATGTATTTGTTTTAATTAAAAACTAAATCAAAGCAAACCTCACCAAAACCAAACAAAAACAAAATTAAAAAAATCCCAAACCACAAACCTCTTTCTCACTATTTAGAAAATTGTATTTTAACGCCCACGGAGAAGATAAGGTAAAAGCCTACAAGTGCTAGATAAATCTATCAAATATCAAATTATCAAAATCTTGTGTGTGCTTTAGTCAGGTGATAAATATGTTTTAAAACTTAGCTTTTAAAACTGGAGGGACTCAAATTTAAGTAACAAAGAAATTCAAAAAACATCTTTCGGCTACATTTTTTAGAGATATAAAATCCTTGCTTAAGTGTCTTAAATTTCAAGGATCATGTTAATGTACTCTGTAATAATCTAAACAACACGTTGCCTTAGCTGACTGCTTCTCTTGCCCAGTCTCAAACACTTTTTTAACACAAAACATTATGATCAGCTGACATCAGCCAATCACTACCATCGCCCTGTA